CCTCTTCCCCTGTCTGAGCCGTCCTGTAATTCTCCTATTAATCATCTTTGTTTTTACCCTGTGACATTCATTCTTATTCCTTTTTCTCTTTTAATAACAGATTATTTTATATTTTTACAACTACCAAAAATGATTAACTTTTTTTTATAATTTAGATTAAACTATCTTTGAGAGTTATGGGAGTTTCTTGCATAGACGTTAGGAAATAATAGTACAGAAAGGTGAAAATCTCATTAGAAAATATATAAAACAAGAATAAAGGATGATAGGACTTATTTACTAAACAAAGCTTTTGATCTGAATAGAAATTAGAGATACTAGAAAAAGGGGCTGGGGATTTAGCTCAGCGGCAAAAGCACCTGCCTGGCATGTGCAAGGTCGTGAGTTCGGTTCCCGGTACCGGAGAAAAACCAAAACCAAAAAACAAACAAACAAACAAAAAAAACAAAAAAGAGATACTAGAAAAAGTAAAGCAGGTAGTAGGTGCCTTCTATATAAATTCCTTCCAATTTTTGTATTGTTGTTCATTTGTGTATTTATAGTTCTTTTTAGATATGACTTGTGTCCCAAATTGCTAGGAGGCCCTCCCAGGCTGATGTCAATTGTAGTAAGCATATTTGTTTACTACTCTTAGTCAGTGGTTTCTGACATACAAATAGCCGTAAGTCTGACAGTGACCTCTGTGAAATCCATAAGGGGTTATCCTCACAGTACTTGCAGAAGCCAGTAATTCTGCAAATACTCTAACCTAAGCCTATATTGTACTGATCATTAGAAATTCCGCTAGCCGTATAGGACATGAAGTTAAAATCAAACAGCACAAAAAGGCATACAGGGAAAGGTTAAGTGATAGTGTTGAACAGAAGCGGGAGACTGCCTGTTAACCCTAAAGGCTGGTCATTTTCAGTGAACTGATGCGCTTCTCTCTTTCTTCCAGTGAAATGGATCGGTGTAGGTAAATCCAGAGAATCCATGATTCAGCTCTTCTAAGGATTACCGGGAAGACAAGAAACACTCCATGTTGGGGAGGAAAAAGACTTTCTTAAATATTTCTTTATGACCTGCAAGTTCACAAATAAAGACAGTGAATTGAGTGGAAGTCCTGCAGTGTTCCTGGGCTTGAGCTGATGGCTGGTGCGGAGGCCGCCGTGGGCGTGTTCCCGTCGGCCCCTGTCCTTGGCGGGCATCGTCACCAAATCATTTCTTGCTCCTGCTGCTCATGGTGCCATGTTTTCTTTCAGTGTTTAGTAATAGCATAATCTCTGTTGTTCGAAATTTAAAGTAGTTATTTTTGATGCAGTTTTTCTTCATTATTGTCATTGTGTGTTTTAGTTTTTACCCCTATTGTTAGATGGTGAGAAAACTTAATGCAGTTTTGCACAAATATTTTTACATTCTGATCAATTCTCATTGTAATCTTTGCCGTTAGAAAAAGAGTGATGAAAAGATAGGGGTTCTGTAAACTTTTGTAATGCTATAAATTCTGTTTAACTCAGAATTATTTTCTGCTAAGACCATTACAAAATTGAGCTTGTTGCAGGGAAGGGGTGGCGGGATGGGTATACACTTATGGGTCCTTTAATTTCACAGAACTTATTCTGCATACATTATTTAATACATTAAACATTTAATTAAATGTTCAAAAAGAAAAGATGGTCCCCTAAATAATCTTAATGTTTAAAAGAGCTGTTCTGATATTTAGTGGATATTTTTCTTTAGTTTGAGACATGAACTGCAATGTATATCTTTCCTTTTTAAAATTTGTATTATACCATTATTTCTAAGTCTAATGGATGGATTTTTCAACACTGTGCCTGCCATTATACCTATAAACCACCTGTAAGTGTCCAAATGAACCTGAATTACTGGCCATAATTTTGATCATGCCTTCTTTTCTCTTTTCTTGAACAAAAAGGTGTTAATTTTGACAATTAGGCTTAACATATTGTGTTGTAGATTATTGTTGAACTATTACATGGTTAGGTGCCACTTAAATTTATTTTATTATACCATCAATAGCTGATTAAAAAGAACCAAATATTTCTAGTATGCTTTGTGTATTGTTTTTTGTTCTGGTAATAATAATACTAGTATGTAGGAGGGAGCATTATCCCTGCAGTATGTGGGGATAGTATAGAGAGAGATAAAAATAGATTCTTTGGAAGGATCTAAGTATCTTTATCTTCACTATCTTTATTTTTATAAAATTCTGAAAGAGGAGTACCCTCACTGGACTCAATAAATAAAGAACAGTACAGCTAATTCTGCAAACACACTGTAGATCTATAATGACATATGTAAAAATACTATATTTCCTTATTCTAGTAGATTGAATGGAATTTTAAAGTTTACATTCTTATCCTGGCTATAAGAACTGTTATTAGAACTCTTTTAAAAGTGAACTATTTGTTGATCAGTTGACATAGTGATAACTATTACAATGACAGGTTTTTATGGAATCAGAACATATGTACCAGATTCTGCTAGGGGTTGCCTATGCAGTGGTGTTAGCACACAGTCTTACTGAAATTCATTGCAGTGGGAACAGCGTGTTAACACATATTTATGAATGGTGGTGTATGCTGCAGTTGAAAAGTACAGAGTAGAGTGAAAGGGAAGCTAATTTAAATGTGGGAAGGATCAGGGGAGACTTCAGTGGATGTGTAAACAGACCAACTGGGTGAGTAGTCAGAAGTGCCTAGTACAATGTGCTAAGGCCTAGGGGCTGGGAGGAATGTGGGGAGTTAGAGCAACTGAACAAAATGAGCACAGAGCTGATGTTGACAGCAAATTCAAGAAATACTGAGTCAAACAACCAAAACATATTGTACATGAAAGAAAATACTCTAGCTCAAAATGCAATACATACCATGTTTAAGGAAGCATGGTGAGAGCACAGAAAAATTGTTGAAATTTCAGAACTCACTGAAAAGGAACTAGCTGACCAAACAAAGTATTTCAGTATGGAGAGAGCTTGTTTAGTGTAATATTTGATATAATTGATTAATACTGTTGTATGAGAATGTGAAACTTCTAAGGCATTTTTTAAAAGGTGACACCAGGTGTTAAAGTATTGTAAAACTATGTGACGTTGTCATGGGAAGGAACAAACCCACAGAAAAAAATTTTAACCCTTGAAAAAATATTTCAGTATTTTTCTTTAATATGCAGAGTGTCATAAATAAGAAAATAATTAGTAAAAAAAGATTTAAAAAATCAGTATATATCACACAGTCCACAGAAAAGTAAATATGAATGGCCCAAATTGTGAAAAGATCCCCTCCTTCCTCCAGATGGAATGAAAAAATAAAAGTATTTCCAGCAAAGGTAACTAGTAAGAGCTACTATAATGTAAAGTATTTGGGTTTGTAATTTCCTATATGTTTGAAGTCACAGGCAATGCAAAACAACAATAAAAAACTGTTACTGGGCGTATTGTATAAAATGTAGTTTTTAACAATGACAATATAAGGGGAGGGACCGAGCTGTATATGATAGTTGTATATTACTAAAATCAAGCTGGTATTAATTTGTAATTCCCATAGTAACCAGTAAAAAGTATCAAAAAGTTTACACCAAAGAAAATAAGACAGAACACCACCAAAATGTCACAACACAAAAGATCCAAATAGTTTGGATGAAACACTGAGTCCCCTCTAGGAAAGACCCTAGTACAATGGCAAAAGTTTGTACTGTTACCCTCTCTCCCAGCCTGCTCCAAATGATCCTGGGGCCCTTGTTAGGGGAACTGTGTGCTGAGAGAAATAAACTCAGTGGTTGCAGGAGATCCAAACTAGCTCCAGAGCCCTCCAGTCACAGTAGGTAGTTACAGCGGTCAAAGAGAATCAGTGGTATTTTAGCTCAAGTACGTCTCACAGTGGGTCCCCATTTCATCTGAAGGCATTTCTTGTTACTGTATTTTGGTCTTTGTCTTTCATATTGCATTTTTTTCAAATATCTTGGTGGCACCTGGTTGACCATGTCATAGACTGAGGCTATAGAAAATTACATAAAACTCTGTTTATGAAGGAAGATTTTTAACTGGTAGAATTTATTTTGGGGTGGTTGAGTAGGAAGCCAACCAGTATGCCCGCAGGTGGGTAGCAGCCGGAATGTGGCATTCTTTGAGATCATTTCATTTCCTTTTACCCCCTACCTCCCTCCTCTCCCTCCCTTTTAAGACACTTTTATTAGTATGTGTCTGCAATACATAATGTTTACCTTGGTGTGAAGTTGGTACATGTATAGAACATGTCTTCTTATTTCATCCCCTTTCCTCCCTGCCTTCCACCTTTTGATGCCCTTCCCATCTCAGAAAGATCTTTCACCCTACTTCCTATTAACTATCTTTTTATTTTGCTCTTTAATATTTAAGCTTGTGTGTCTGATTTATTTCACTTAACATTGTGATCTCAAGATGCGTCCATTTTTCTACAGATGACTCCAGTTTATCCTTTTTGGCAGAGTAGCACTCCATTGTGTATAAATACATTTTCTTTATCCATTTTTCTGTTGATGGACATAGATAGGCCACTTCTAGGATCTAGCTATTATGAACTGTGCTGCTATAAACTTTGGTATGCATGTGTCACTTTCATATAATGTCTTTAACTCTTGGGAGGATACCTGGATGGGAAATTGCTGGTTCAAATGAAATTTCTATTTTTAGGTTTTGTGTTTTGTTTTGTTTTATTTTGTTTTGAGACAGGGTCTCGCTATGTAATTCAGGCTGGCCTTGAACTCACTGTGTAGTCCAGGCTGGCCTTCAACTCAGGGCGATCTTCCTGCCTCAGCTTCCTGAGTGTTGGGGTTACAGGTGTGTGCCACCATGCCTGGCTATTATGGGTGGATCTTGATTCTCTGTTCTTGGCTGATCAGTTTAATCTGAAAAGAATTGGCAACATGTAAATATTTTAGGGTTAAGGTTATCTGTATACATACTGAAATTAAATAGTTCTGCTATTATCCTATCTGAGAATCATTAAGAATACCGCCAGTTATTTTGGTTGAATGCCATGGTTATTTTAGTTTAAAAGCATTTTTTCCAGAGCTGCCTCTTTTCACAACAGTAGAGCAGTGGCAAGGAATTAAGTGGCCCAGGATTTGATGAAATTGTGGCCAATTTCTGGTCTCCATCTGTAATTTAAAACAAATTAATGATTTAAGACTATTTACTCGTAAATTTTAACACACTGTCCTTTTATCATTTATGCACAATAACAAATAATTTATAAGACTAAGGGCAAAGGGATGTATTTAAAATATGGGAAAAAGGACATAGTCAAAAGGTGATTTCTTTGGTTTAGTCTCCAATTAAAAGGCCTTATTGCATTAGGCCAAAATGGGAATAAAATCACTCCAATAAATTTGCATTTGAAGTCCTAGTTCTAGACCCCCAAGCCCTTTCAGTCCTACATTGTCAATGGGCCACTTTGTATCAAACTCAATGATTGCCATCCCTCAGTTCAGACCAACTGGAGTTCCCTCCTGTCTTGTAGCTTATCTAGAATTACTAACATCTCCTTATCTAAAGGTATGGGGGAAAAGTAAATAAATAAAGGTAAGGGTTCAAGGAAGGCTTAGGTTGACTACAGCAATCAGTGATGCTAACATAACAAAGCTTCAGCAAGTAGGTGTTTTACTTACATTAACCCTAATAATCACAACAACCCTCATTAATACACAGATTTTATCACCATCTCAGGAAGATTAATTTGTCCAAGTTTACTCACATATGAGATGGAGCCCAGGTTCACCCACAATTCTCAGGCTCGAACATCCCTAATCTTTTAAACTGCTGTGTTCCACGTTCATTAGCACCTCAACATTTGAAGAAGTAAGCATTTCTTGATATTAAGAATGATAAAACATTTCATTAACCCAGAAACTATTACTAGAAATACATTTGGAGGATTTTTTAAAGTTATATTTTATGTAAGTGCAATCCTGTCTATAGTAGTAACCATGATTTCTGAAGGCTGATTATGCTGTCAAATAACAATTACAGGCTTCTTAAGAATAATGTATTTTAGGGAAATAAAGTAGGATCAACATGTGAGAAATTCTATTCAACAGCTCTTAGCTTTGCTGTAGGATTTACAATAGTGACAAATCATACACATATTTAACTGATTCAACAGTCAATGTCCTGAGTATAGTGAATGTTATCGTCTCAAAATGCTATTGAGATAGAAGATACTATGGAAATAATACAGATGGGAGATTATATGTGAAATCCCTCATTATTAAACAGACTGTAATTACTGTTCATGTGGATTTCTGGTGGTGACTCCTTAAAGTCATCATTGAAAAATAAAATGAAGAACTGAGAACCATGGAGAAACTACCCAGTTCAATGAGAATTCAAGCATATTTACATTCTGTACACTTTATTTAAATCACTCGAGTGTTATTGGAGATTTTCAAGGATAACCTTGTACGTGGCTTTTATGCACTAGTTTTTTAACAGTGGGAGATCCGATTCTGTGGTATCTTTAAAAATATATTTATGATGGTATGTATTCTTGATCAGTAATAACTTGGCATTTTTTGAAGCCTTATCAGTGTTCTATACAAGAACATTGCCAAGTTGTTTACACGCATACCTCAACTCTTTTAGGTGGGTACTATTTTTGTTCTTTTTGTAGGTGGGAAAATTGAGGATCTGAGAGACTGAGGGTCACATAGCTCCTGAAAATATATATTTCATTTTGCAAGAGTGATTTCTTTGAATGATTTGGTACCAGGGTGAATAATACAAGGACAACTTTCTTCTGAAGAGTTACTTTGTCCTCTTAGGCTGTTAAGTTCTCAGAACTGCCTTCACTATATCCTGCACGTGATCAGTTCTTAAGTGCTTCCTAAATAAACAATGATATATGCTGAGAATTTTTAAAGCAATAACCACTGTGTATAATGGTCTATTTTAATCTCTTCTTTAACAATTTCCAAATCAGAAGTCTCCGAACTGAACATGAAATGCAAAACATTGCTATTGTAAACATATCTTCTCTTAAAACTCTACTCACAAAGTTGGGATACAGCTCATTGCAGAGCACTTGCCTAGCGTGCAGTGGGTGGGTTCAATGCCCAGCGCTAAAACAAGCCTGTGCTTGGGTAAATACCCTTTCTCTCTGTTGTTCTGTGAAAAGCCCTTCCCCACACGCTCTAGGAGTGAGTTTCTTGATCTGAACAAGTGTTGGGTTCTGTTCCTGCTCTCTTCTCTGTCTGCTGTGATTCGTAGGTTTCTCTGTGAAGGCTTCTTGTGGACCAAACTTTTTTTTTTTTTTTTTTTTTGGTTTTTCTCCGGTACCGGGAACCGAACTCACGGCCTTGCGCTTGCCAGGCAGGCGCTTTTAGCCGCTGAGCTAAATCCCCAGCCCTGGACCAAACTTTTGCTCACCCGATTATTTATTTATGAAACCATTGGCTCCCAGGTAGCTCTCAAATCCATCTCAGTCTCTCTACTGCTGCCACCCATTGTCAGCGGCCTGACTCACTGGTTCTCAAACTCAGCTGCACAGGGCAGTTATCTGGGAATTTTATAACTCTTATGCCTGAGACACCCCAGTTACACCCGCTGGGGGATTCTGCTCTTCTTAGTGTGGCACAGCCGGGGTATCTGGATTTTTAACAACTTCACTTTAGTCAAAGTTAGAAACATGAACTGACCCAGCACAGTTGCTCCTGACCTCTCTTTGCCCCTCACTGGCCCCCTTTCTTTTCCAGAGAGTGCTATTTTCAAAATGATATTTTATTTTATTTATTTATTTATTTATTTTGGTTTTTCTCCGGTACTGGGAACTGAACTCACGACCTTGCGCTTGCCAGGCAGGCGCTTTTGCCGCTGAGCTAAATCCCCAGCCCCTCAAAATGACATTTTAATCACTGCCGCCACTCTCCTTAAATCTTTTCAACAGCATCCCATTAGTCTCAGGCTAGAGCCAAATGCCTATGGCCTTATTCTGGTCTTGCTATCTCTCAGCCACGTCCTGTTCCATGAGCCCTTTGGCATATGTGTGAGTGTTTGTGTGCGCCTAGGGTTGAGCCTAGGGCTCAATGCATGCTTAACACTCTACTGCTGAGCTACAACTTTGGTTTGCTTGCTTTTTTACTTCTTCAGACATGTCATTCTCCTTCCCACCACAGGCCTTTGCACAGAGCGTACTCAGTGAAACTGTTTCCCTAACTCCTTGTCTAGTTAACTTTTAGCTCCTCCTTCAGGTCTCAGCTCATTTGCTCAGACAGACCTTCTCCAATCTATTATCCTCTTGTAGAACCACATAAACTCCACTTCCTAGCATTTAGAGCAAGTGCAATTTTATGGTTACTTCTGTAATGTTCTACTGAATCTCATTTGTAGAAACTTTGTGTCCGTGTTTGCTTCACATGGTATGGTCGAAAGCTAGCATATTGACTGACATTTAAATAGGCTCTCAAATTGTTTACTGGAAGAATAAATATAAAGGAATGAAAAGGTGCCCCAAATCAAATAGCCGAGTCCAACTGATGTCATCTCCACAATATTTCTAGAATCCATTTATTGCTTTTCATCTTTTTTGCTGGTCCAAGTCCTCATCATCTTTGGTCTAAACTATGAAACAGCTTCCTCAGTGATTGACATTCTTCTACCCTTGTCCCTCTTCAAACTGTCTTAGCTAGAGTGATCTCAGGGCATAAGCCTGGGTCCAACAGACCCATCCTTTACTTTTCTACTGTAAATTTGTACTTCAGTGTTGCAGTAGCTGGCTGTGTGTCTCAGTACTTTCCCCTGAGGGATACAGGAAGCAGTCTATATGTTTACTCACTTGTTATGACAAACAGCAAGGAGTGTGCACATGTCCAAAAGTGATAAAATGGGATTTGGACCCACTTATGCTCCACCTAGCTGGTTTTGAATATATTTACCTGAGCATCACAGAGGGTCCAGTAGACCCACACTACTCCAGGATTTGTTTAGAAAAAAAAGTTTTTTGTTTTTGTTTTTAATTTTCCCAGTAGAAGTAGCCCAATTCAGTACAATGGCACATGAAAAACCAGATTTGCAAGTTTTGGAGGAGGTCAAAAGTGAATCAGATTATGATGAACCATTATGGTAAAATACAAGTTTTCATGACAGAAGAATGGTGTGGGTGGATGATGATGATGATGATGGTGGTGATGATGATGATGATGACTTTGACACTGGTCATGTGAGCCAGGGTTCCTGGGACAGTGAAATAGAGCAAGAATAGACTGATACTGACACAGGATGCAGACCTCCTTGATTCAAGTGATGAAGAAAATAGCAGTGTGAGTACATATTTGACTAGTGGAAATGTTGTGAAATGGCCACATAGCCAAATGGAATGATCCAATGTTAGCACTAGGTCTGAAAATATAGTGAAAGTCTTGGAAGGGGTGAAATATATCGGACAGAATGCCAGCACTGCCATTCAGTGTTGGAAATTGTAACAAACAAAATGCTGTAAGATGCTGTGAAATACACAGAGGCCAAAATGCAGGTAAAATGTTCCATGCGCACCAATAGCCATATTCAAAAATATATTTGTTATTACACCTCACTAGCTGAATTGAAAGCATTTATAGGTCTGCGGTACTTCGCATAGATTTCTCATGGTGATTGCAAGAATGTAAAAGACTTATGGAAAGCAAGAGGTCAAAATATGGCATAAAAATTATTTATGCTCTTGTAGATGCCGAGACTTATCATGCTTTTAATTTAGACAGTCATCCTGGAACTCAGCCGTAGGTCCTTATTGATACAGCAACAAACAGAATGATGCTGTGAACAGACTTGTTGCTTTCATCTCCCAAACTAATCAGAATGTGACATTCAATGATTGGTTTACTGGTTTCCAATTGATGTGACATTTGCTAACAGAGCACAAGTTGATTGGCACAGGAACTGTACCCAGGAACAAAGGCAGAAATTTCAAATGAAATGGTACCATTTTAAAACTGCGAATTGTAGAGTACAATCTTTGAATTTCAGAAAAATATAACATTGACTTTGCGTATGGCAAAGAAAAGCCAACTGGTACTGTTGATGTCAATATTTCACCATGCTGAAAATATTGATAGGGTAGTTTCAACAAAACAGACGCCTGAGATGGAAGCTTCTACTAACAAAACCA